GATCCTAGCCCTAATTTTCTATTGGGTGATAATTAGGGATCCAAATTCTAATCTATCTTTGTCCTTTTTTATTTGTAGATGTCGAACGAACAACGCTGCTGCAAGCTCGTTCACATTGATGAGCCTTTTCCAAAAGGTGACTTTCGATGGAACGAACTTTAGCGAATGGATAAGATACATTCGCGCGATTGCTCGCTATGAGGACAAGGAGTATGTCCTCGATGAGAAGCTCGAGAAGATCAATCCTGAAATCGCTACTCCGGCTGAAATCACCGCTTTTGAAACTCATGAGCGTGATGAAAACGAAGGTTCATTGCATCATGATAGCCACTATGAACTCCGAATTCCAAAATCCTACGAGGACATGTATCCGTACGAAATGCACCAAGACTTGTTGGAGAGATACCACCAAAAACGCGAGGCAAGGAACGTTAGAAGATTTCACTAACATGATCTCCGCTAAATGGGTCATGGTGAATCTCTAACCGTGCACCTGCAAAAGATGCAAAGGTATGTCGATCGTCTTCCAAGTTGAATGTGACTTTGGGGAAGACTTACAATCGACATGGTGCTTCACTCATTGCCTCCGTGTTACAACCAATTTAGGATGACCTACCACATGAAACAAAGAAGAGGTCACCCTAAGTAAGCTCCAAGGTCTCCTTAGGGTTGCTGAGAGCAATCTCAAGGACAAGTCCGTTGCACCCACTCCCAATCCACCCCTGCTCCTGTTTTGGCCATTGGGCAAGGAAGAGCAAGAAGAGGAAGGCTCCGTCTAAGAGCCACCGCAAGGAAAGTCCCGAGATGGTTCCTCCTCTAGTGGGACCAAAGTTGATCCCGCTAAGCCTACTCTAACCCAAAGGAGGCAGAGTGCCACCATTGCCACAAAATAGGGCATTGGAAGAGAAGCTGCCCAGAGTACCTGCAAGCATCAAGGAAGGAAAGATCAAGCCATCTTTCGCAGGTATATATACAATTAAATCTAATGATTCATCTCATGCTATTTCTTGGTCCTCGATACCGGTGTGGTTACCACATTTGTTCTGAATTGCAGGGACTAAGAAGAAATAGGGATGTGGAGCATGGAAGAATAAATCTAATCATGGGGAACAGAAGATCGTCGCTGTGACCAAGATTGGAGTGTATTCTCTAGTGCTTAGGAATGGTTTATGTTTAGATTTGAACAATTGTTGCTATTCGCCAGAAATGGCAAGAAACATCATTTCATTTCATGGTTTGTTTAGACAAGGATTTAGATTTTCTTTTAATAATGAGAATGGTTCTATTTGTGCTTATCTAAATGGTGTCTTATATTTTGAAGCAATACCATGTAATGGAATTTATGAAACTGTTATGATTGTAGATAACCTAGGAAATGATGTTTTATGCATGGATTCTTCCAATAGTATGGATAGAGCATCCTTGTGGCATTGTCGTCTTGGACATGTCAACAAGAAGCGCATAGCCCAACTCCAAAAGGATGGAGTGTTGGAGTCATTCGACCTTAGGGAAGATGACACGTGCGAATCTTGTTTACTTGGAAAGATGACTAAGTCACCCTTCACTAGCACATGTGAAAGGGGTGAGGGTTTATTGGACCTAATACATACCGATGTATGTGGACCGTTTAGATCAACCATAAAGGATGGGAACCGCTTCTATGTGACTTTTACCGATGACTATAGTAGATATGGGTATATCTACTTAATCAAGCAAAAGTCAGAAACATTTGAAAAGTTCAAAGAGTTCAAGAATGAAGTGGAGAATCAATTGGGCAGGAAAATCAAGATGCTTCGATTCGATCGAGGAGGAGAGTACCTAAGTCTTGAATTCCACGACTATCTAAAAGGGTGTGGAATAGTTTCACAATTGATGCCACCTAGGACACCGCAATTGAATGGTGTGGCAGAAAGGCATAATCGAACCTTGTTAGATATGGTCCGCTCTATGATGAGTCGTGCTTCACTATCTATCTCATTCTGGGGGTATGCCTTAGAGACTGCCGCCCATATCCTTAACAGATTCCCTACTAAGAAGGTTGCCAAAACACCTCACGAGATGTGGACAGGGAAATCTCCCTCGTTAGCACATATCAAGGTTTGGGGTTGCGAGGCTTTCGTAAGATGAGATACTCACGACAAACTCGAACCTCGTAGTGAGTGATGTATTTTCATCGGCTACCCGCAGAAATCCTTTGGATATCTCTTCTATAGACCGAAGGACAATGTTGTCTTTGTTGCGAGGAGAGGAGTTTTCTGAGAGCGAGAACTCATAAGCCAAGGAGACAGTGGGAGGAAAATCGAGTTTGAAGAGATTCAAGAGTCGATAGATGAAGGAACCTCTACCGCTGGCCCTCAACCTGAGGAGGAAACTCCGGTTGAACCGATTGACGAGTCCTTACCTCTTAGATGTTCCGAAAGAGTTAGAGTTCAACCCCAGTTATATGGTTTTCATATTACTACCGAAGGGGACACGTATATTAGTGATAGTACACTAATAAATCTAGATGAACCTAATAGCTATAAGGAAGCCATGGCAGGCCCGGAGTCTGCGAAATGGAAAGAGGCAATGGACAGCGAGATCCAGTCCATGTATGACAACCAAGTTTGGAATTTGGTTGATTATGTGCCCGGACATAAGACCGTTGGGTGCAAATGGATCTTAAAGAAGAAGACCGATGTGGATGGAAACGTACACACATATAAGGCGCTATTGGTTGCGAAGGGTTTCACTCAAACTCCCGGAGTTGATTATGATGAGAACTTCTCACCAGTTGCGAAGATAAAATCTATTAGAGTGATGCTAGCAATTTCCGCATTTCATGATTATGGGATTTGGCAAATGGATGTCAAAACCGCTTTCCTTAATGGGAAGTTGGCTGAGGATGTTTACATGGCTCCGCCAGAAGGTTTTGTCGATCCGAAGCATCCAAATAGAGTGTGTAAGCTTGAGAAGTCCATTTATGGACTTAAGTACGCATCTCGCAGATGGAATCTTTGCTTCGATGAGAAAGTCAAAGAGTTTGGATTTGTACGAAGTGAAGATGAATCATGTGTATATGTCAAAGCAAGTGGGAGTATATTTAGCTTTCTCGTGTTGTATGTTGATGACATACTGCTCATAGGAAACGACATCTCGACACTGCAGGAGATTAAGTCCTGAATCGGGAAGTGCTTCGCTATGAAGGACCTCAGAGAGGCTTCCTATATTCTGGGAATAAGGATAGTGAGAGAACGAAGTAAGAGACTAATAGGACTTAGTCAGAACACTTACTTAGATAAAGTACTAAAACGTTTTAGTATGGAAAACTCGAAGAAAGGAGAATTACTGATACAATATAATGCAAAGCTGAGTAAGACTCAAAGTTCGAGTACCGAAGCCGAAATAGCAGAAATGAGCCGAGTACCATACGATTCCGCAGTTGGCTCAATCATGTATGCTATGACTTGTACTCGCCCTGATGTAGCTTTTGCTTTGAGCATGGTCAGTAGATATCAAGGGAACCCTGGCAGAGCCCATTGTATTGCGGTGAAGAATATCCTTAAGTACCTTCGGAGGACCAAGGAATGGTTTTTAGTCCCTCGGAGGGAGTGATGACTTGAAGGTGCGACGGTATAGTGACGCCAGCTTTCAGACCGACAGAGACAACTACCGTTCACAGTCGGGTTGGGTCTTTACCCTGAATGGAGGAGCAGTAACTTGGAAAAGTTCCAAACAAGAAACCATAGCTGATTCAACGTGCGAATCAGAGTACATCGCAGCGAGCAAAGCGTCGAAAGAGGCAATATGGTTAAAGAACTTCATTGGTGATCTTGGAGTTGTACCTATCATAAAAGAGCCCATGAAGATTTTCTGTGATAATGAAGGAGCGGTTGCCTTGATCAAGGAACCAAGGGATCATGGTAGATCTCGACATATCAATAGAAAATATCATTTTATAAGACATCGTGTAGAAGAAGGACAACTTGTGGTGAAGAGGATATCATCAGAAGATAACCTAGCAGATCCGCTTACGAAGGGACTAAGTAGGGTTAAGCACTTGCAGCATGCTAGGAACATTGGGCTGAAGGATGATATTAGTATAGATTAGATAGTGTTAGAAACGCGTGATAGATAAATGTAATTAACATTTTATGATTAAATAAAAGAGTATTATTTATGAGTAATGTTACTGTCTTATGTTAATTGTTTAACTATTGTTTCATTTTGCATGTTTTGACTTCCAGAATAATTGAGTTTATTAAGAATAATCGAATTATTCAAATTGTCCACAATCGTTCATATGTTGGAAGTAGGTATGAATGAAGATTGTCATGAATTGGTGTGTAGATTGTCTAAATGGTATTAGACATAGCAAAAGTTTGTTGCAACGTTCATGAGTGCTTATGAACTAGTTTTGAGCATTGGAACAAACCCGCGCTTGCTGGAATCACCTTATGGAATGTGATAAAAGGGTGATCGCAAGACGATAATATCATATGGTCTTAAAACCTAGATATATGGTTTGTTATTTGTTAATTGGTTGTACATTGATGATGCGAAAACGCATCAGTAACTTGATGTTATAAAACGCATTGTTGTGTATAGTTGATTAATGAATAAGTAAATGCATATAAGTCGAAGTTTATTTGTTACTTTTATCCTAAGAAGGTAAAAGCGA